CCCCCCCCCAACTGGGCAACACATTCCAATTTATGAAACAATAAACTGTGTGCTTTTATGACACGAGTAATTTCATTTCTGTGGGGACTCGACACTGGTTTGGTTCTGCAGGAGGGTCAGTTACAGTGAAATACTGTTTTGAGAGAGATAAGAGCTCTGGCCTCCAGCCAACTGTCGTAATGTGCAATTGCAGCCTGTCACATGTTCAACTCATACTTGATATCATGACAATTGGTGTCATTGACACAGGCTATAGCCTACAGACGCATCATCAACTGTGGTCATAGTTGAAATGTTGACTTACAGACCTCATAGCGGCAGCGGCAAACAGAGTAAAGTATCTCCTTGCTGGAATGAAGCATTTGCTATTTTTTTGTATACGAAGTAGCACACGTTCATATGATTAAAACCAGAAATGCGTAACCTCCTGGTTATTACAGGAGTTCTCCCATTAGCTGTGCCAAGCCAATCACTTCTGTGTTGTCTTGTTTGTCTGTAGAAATTACAACCTTTTTGTTGCTGTTGTAGCAGGGACAAATATTTCAGCGCAACTCATATGTTTTGATCACGAGCACTGATAGGGGTGGTGTTGATTGCGGTGCTACATCATTGTATATTGTAATTCTTTGAGCAAATATAATCTTGGTATTATTGTTGGGATGTCACAATGCTACATAAATAATACTTTTTGGATATTTCTATGACTTTATTTTCTGTTATGGTATTAGTACTGTAAAACATGTTGGCTATTTTATAGACTAATTCCATTATTATTGGACTTAACGGGCCTCATGCAAGAACAATTACAACAGTTTGAACTGATTAATTTAATATAAAAAAATAATTCATGAATTCTATGTCAGGTACAGTCACAAACAGATACTATGCATTCTGCACAGGGAGAAGAAAAACTCTTATGAATTTGTTCAAGAAATCTTGCTGAGAGGATGCCATAAACCTATTTTGTTGAGAAAGTTGAGTGATAAATGCACTGTACAACTATTTTTTTTATCTTACAGAATCCTGTACACTTGGTGTGTGCATTAAGATTGGGTGCTATCCTGATCATTGGGGATAAGAGAAGAAAAGGGCAGAAGAAAAGAGAGGGAAAGAAACAGATGTAGTAAAGAGAAGAGAAGAGGAATGAAGTTGTCCAGAGCCATTGTTTCCCTCAGTGAAGACGTTGTACTCCATACCTCGGCTCTCTTCTGTCCCGCACTTCAATCTGAAGAAAACAAAAACAAGACAAATAGTGAGGCAGAGCCCAAACAAATGTAACTTTAAAGGGGCCTTATTTTGGGGGGAGTTTTCCCTTTTTGTAGTGTTTGTGTGCATGTAAATGGCCTGCAGAGGCTAACATCCCAAAGCTCTCTCCACACTTCCCCTTCTGCAAGGAGCACCTCCAATGGAGTCCTTTGTTGACGCTGTGACATTATGACATCACTATATAACACTCACACTTTTATTGGCTACCTTCCAATATATAGTATTTGATATTTCTCACACATCTCTTAGCGGTTAAACAATCACAACAGAGACAGCCAACTAACCAATCAGAGCAGACTGGGCTCTGGTTTCAGACAGAGGGTGAAAAGAGGTGCTGCAGCACAGGCAGTATGAGAAAAATAAAAAGCTTTTCGAACATCATAAATCAGGTAAACATTTCAAAGTAGGAGCACAGATGGCACTATAGGGACCCTTTTGAACCTATATTAAATAACCAATGACAATATCCCTGTTGGGTGCCTTAAGGATCTTTCAGATAAAAGGTGACACTACTGTGCACTACTGTGCTCTGAAATCAATTCCCAATGGCTTGTGCCACGCAACAACTCTTTTTGCTCACCAAAGCGCTGTGACAAATACCCATGAGGCCATTACAAACAAGTCACCCAGACAAAAAATTGATGAAGAAATTCACTTTATGTGTTCTATTCCTGAACTGTACAACACAAGGTTTGCCCTGTATTGAGGCATCGAGGAAAGCCCTGTCTTGGAAACACATTTCTGACTGGGTAGGCATACAGGGCTATGTAATCTATCAGGTGTGTTTTAACAGATAGCTTGTTGCTGGCAACAACAAAATGACATTGATCGCTAGAAGTTTTGTAAACTCTGCCTTTTTTCTTCTCTTCCCCAACTTCTCCGTATACCTATTCAGATGAGCACTGAACTAACTGAAAAACTAGCACAAGTCACGTTGTGTCTGAAATGGGCTTTATAGATGGTAAGGCTGCTGTTCCATTTATTTCTATGTAGGCTACAGAAAAGGTGACATATACTGTACATTAACAACACATTTGCAAACTGTTAAAAAGGTAAGGAATAAGTCAGATCACAATAATAGTAAACACTATTAACCTGTTAAGCCCGAGAGGCTGCGGTTTCTTTTGTCACAAAACTGTGTCTCAGGGCTTCTTAACATTTAAAAACCTATTAATGTGTCATACTCGATTAACGGGAAGAAACTCAGCTCACTGACAATACGAACCAATTTTACCGAAACAAAACACAAGTCTCACAAGAAGCGTCTAAATGAGCCCTGAGCGAAAAAAGTCTACGCACTTAGCACAGAACTCACGGTACAAATACCCTTATTACTTATTGTAACTGCACATACAAGATATCGATTAGCAAGCTGAGATTCCACAGATTCCAGAAATATAAGTCAATGAGCGATCAGAACTCGCAACAGGGGAAGCGAAAACAGACATCACAACACATAGCATTACGGAGCTTTCACGGGACATCGTCTTACCTTAGCTGCTATTCTGATCAAAAGTCATGTTCAATGGCATTAAAACGATAAAAACGCTGCTGAAGGTTAATCCAATGGTTAATCCAATGTGTCTGTGTCACTTTGAAATGATTACTGATAATCAATCCTTCCATTTTTATGTCAATAATGGAGTTTTGTTATTAGCTGCTATGATAGCCACCAGAGTGTATCGCAGCTTCCAGTTCCGGGGCATTCTGGCTACGCATCAGTCATTCACCAATGGGTAATGTTTAGATGGATTTTAGGAACGTCCCCTCGATTCTATTGGCTCTAACGGTTAAAAAGAGATGTTAATCATCAAAATCGAACGAGGGGGGCCAGAGATATGGAAAATCCACCCAAATGACCCCAGAAGTGGGTTTTATTTTCTAAATCTCTCTAAAAAGGTCACATTTTAACTCTAACTTTTGGACGGACACTATAATTTACATTTTTTTACTCTGTTGAATCTGAATTTACTTTGAAATAAAAAAAAAAACTATATTGATTCTGACTTTTCTACATCCAACTCACAGGTTTATCATTGCTTTGAGAAACAATGTGTCATTTGTTCTTGGAATGTCATTTTCGAGATCAGAAAAACAGGCTCAGGGCTTAACAGGTTAAATGTGCAATTATGTCATAGTTAGGATTTGATGACAACAGCTCAAGGATACTGGTTGTCATAGTAACAGAGCAGTCTTTCCTGCTCAAGCTTTCAAGGTGCACATAAGTCAGAAAGAGCAGGAAAATGTACGAAGTAAAAGTAGAATAAAGCATAATGTCCTCAGTGGTGTTTTGTCCCCAAAACAAAAATGTGCGCTGTCAAAACGCTCCAAAGCTAATGAGGCTCTACAAAAGCATATTCCTCCAACATGAAAAATGCAAAAGTCAACTTACCCTTGAAACAGCAAAATCTGCAACGACAAAAGAGAAGAAAAATGTTGGCATAAACACAGTGAGGCAAGAGCAGAAAAAGTGCATGTAAAACATGAATCTGCTTGTGTAAGTATGAGTAAAGTCATCACTAAAACACTCATTTTCAACTTCTCCAGCTTTAGTCCATAGTTTTAATCTCTTTCATGTGTTTTACGTGGTTGGTTCATTTTATATTTTTACAGTATATTTGAAAAAATCCACACATGTGTTCCAATTATTGACCTAATTCAGCTTTCATGGACTGTCCACAGGTTTTCCCATAGTTTTGTTGATATAGAAACATTTACTTCTATCTTAAGAAATGTGAGCGAAACACAAGATGCTTTAAATGTGTAAAATCACGAGGTTAATCAGATAAAAACAGAAAAGACACGCCCACGCTCTGGAATATCTCCAGTTACCATGGAAACCATCAGGGAGATAGACCGTCGGAGAACCGAGACATCTTATGTCACTTTTCTCCATCTCACTCCCCCTCGCCTTTACTCTATCCGTCTGTACATCTCTCAGTCTACTTTGTCTTATGTCAAATATCTCTTTCACCCTCTTTGCTGTTGCTCGTTGGGTTTATTGAGTCAAATCAAACACATAATCCTTATGTAAGAAGAACTTTTGTTGTTTGCCATTGTATCTGTTACTCTTGCCCCTCCACTACCCTCTTTTAGCATTCCTTTCTTCCTCCTTCTCTTCTTCTCTTTTCATATAGCTGAAACAATGCAATTGAAGGGCCCTGATGCAACATCATGCAAACTGTCAGAAACCCTCTGGAGGACGTCCTCCCGCTCTTGAAAAAAGCACTGAAAGCAATTTGGTTGGAGTTACTGAGGTCAGGTTGGAGTGCAGTCATTGCAACTGGTGTTCCTGTTGATGGGCTCAAAGTTAAGACCTACAAATAAAATGAAGATTGACCGGGCATTGAGTTTTTTTTCCTGTGATCTTTTTTTCCTTTCTGATTTAATAATCAGGTTTATGCATCGCATTGTCAATCTCACCTGGACAAATACGGCGGCTTGGTCTGAACCATTATTCTCCATGGACCAATATAGCGTCAGTTTTGAATTTGGATCGCTGCATCTAGTTGCCTACAGATGTAGCACTGAATTTCAGACTCCAGCTTACAGCTTCCTGCCTACGACCTGCCTAAAACCAGTATAGAGGAATGTTAAGCCCTCCCACTATTTTCCAAGAGGGCGTTGCCAGATTTTCAATTTCAGGTTTTAACCAGGAGATGGCGCTTCATTCACAAATACAGAAAGACAAGTTTCATGGATTTTCAGTTGTGTTTTGAAGAGCATTTGAACACATCAATATTTTAGATCAACTAAAGTATATCTAATCTTGTAATTCAATAATATATAGTCTTTATATATTAAATAATCATAATTATAATGTAAATGTTTACATTACACTTCTTTATTTGTTATGCTCATACTTTAACCTTTACAATCGTTTGCTTTAATATGCAGTATATTTTTGTGTTTGCTTCCTCCTGTTCCCTTTTGGACACATACTGTATGATTTATTATTATTATTAATATGAAGATATTATTAAGATAAGATAAAATGTTACTTTATTGATTGAACATTTGTGACCCGCTCTATCGAAATCAGTCGGAAGTCGCAACGGGTCATTTCAAAATAAACGTGGATTTGCGTAAAAAACTATTTTTTCGGGGTTCGGGTGTTTTGTTTGATTTTAAACAAACAAAGTCTTGGCTTTCAGAATATCAAACTTTTATTTCCAAACTCACACGATAAATACATTATTTAAGCTTGTAAAGGGAAGATGACAGGCAATCTGCTCTTCCACAGCGCCGCCCCCCCTCCCTCCGGCTGACATTATGAATGTAAGGCGTAGAGTAATCATAAATAACACGGCAGGGTCCGTTACAGTTTGTTTTCATCTGATTTCAAATAAACAAAGTCTTGGCTTTCAGAATATTAAACTTGTTTCGGCAAATTCAGATGATAAATACAACTGTGAAGCTTGTAATTACAAGCGGAGAACGGAGTAACGAACGTCACAGCATAACAACAGCCAGTGTTTCTCGTGAGTGTTTCCCCAGGAACAAACACAATACACACAAACGCAAAAAGACAACA